TTGGCTACAACTTTGCCACAGACAAAACCTCTCTAACCCAAAAACAAAAAAAAATCTCGCATGCTAACTTTTTCATGTTAGAAATCACGATTTAAAACTATTTCACCATACAAATCAATTTTTATTAATTAGATCGGTAAATAGTTTAAAGTTCCAACAAATTAGTCATCGAGTAGGACTAACCAAAAAGCTTTGTGCCAAATTTCAAAATTTTAGCACAACTTTAAGTACACCAAAACACGAAATTATTGAAGTCGTGCGTCGAGAGGACTATCGTTGTTTTTAACAGATTATACTTTTGACCTTCCGGCACTGTTGACTCAGCGAAACTGAACTTATATTTTATCTTATTTCGTTATATTAAAACTGCTGTTGCATTAGGTCAAATTCCCAATAAGTCAATTGCTTTAACATAGACTACGTTTTTAGCCCGGACTGTACTATTTGACTTACTGGGATTTTTGATCTACAGACACTGCAAACATTGTAGTTTTTGACCTAGCGGCACAGGTATAAATTATTTGAACTTCCGGGACTGTTGACTTTCTGCAACGCGTCCCATTAGACCTACCGATAAATAATTGCGCTAAATAAATTAGCACTAATAAATGTAGTGTTTTTTAACTAGTCCTAATTTAACTGCTGAACTCAAAAGCACCGCAGTAAAAAGGTTTTCACGTAAGGATTATTGTAATAAACTTGTACATCAAACCACAGACTTTACTATTAATGGTCAAGTCTGTGATACAACATAGAAAATAAGCTATTATTATTTTACAAAAATACACTTAATTGATCAGATTCTAAATATTTGATTTGATCTACATATTGAGCACGTCGGTCGGGTCGTTCGCAATGTGGCTCGCTAGGAATGTAGGAAAGCTTGCCACAGAGCTGCCGTCGACTTGTCGTGTATCAGGGGGTCAGAATATAACAGGCACTGGCGACGAGCATCACACAGAGGGCCATCTCGTCAATGGAACTGAAACTACAAGTAAACTTGACAAAATAAAAAACAATATATACGTATTTGTAGCCATTCACAATTTTCTAAATAATTCTAATGAGGTAAATATTTTTGTTAATACAAGATGTGGTTCGAATAAAAACTACTAGATTATGTCATATAAGGTTTAGTAAATTTATATTTTGTAATTTATTCATTTGTTCATCTTCAAAAACAATTATTATAATTTGAACCCATCTAAAACTTTTTAAGTACCTATGACATTGCTGTAATTTGGAATAATTACCAAATTAATTATAAAAGTAATAAATGACTGGAATTTAAGCTGTGGTAAGGAAATAAATGTATTTAAACATTAATTTGTCAAGTTAAGCTAAAATATATTGCGTTCATTTGTCGTGAAAACAGCGCAATAATTTCATTAGGAACAATCAAATCAGAGTTATCATTAAGTTATTGCATTGTTAAAATTAATGACTAATAGGCCTAAATTGACTTTTTTGAAAACTATCCACGATATTTGCCTATTTATATTGAAAGGAATAAGAGTTGATGAATACAAATTACACATCTAGTTTAATCATCATGCATCAGTGAGTGAAAATTTAAAAACGTACGTTTTCATGTCCCTGGCCTTTTACTTCGTAGATACTGGATTTGTAGTTTATTATTATGTGTTTTAATATTTTTTGGGACGGGGGCAACATGTTACACACATTTATTTGGTTTTAAATAGGTTCTAGGTATTTTTTTAGTATTTTAAAAGTCTCAAAATTCACGACCATGACGTGTCCCTAGGGTACATTTTCCAACTTTCACGCTGTTTGTAGACTAATTATTCATGCCGAAATATATAAAGCCATATTTTGATGTCATCAATGGTTATTAAACTTACAAAAAAGGAGCATATTATAATTTTATTGTAATTGCAAACTGACTACCATGACAAAATAAGTCTGTCCCTCGATTTGGCATCACGACCATTTGAGAAAAATTTTCAACTTTGGAGCATGACAGTGGCAAGCCTGGCGTCGATGGAGTCAGTTGGTTTTAGGGACTAGTTCGGGGTGTACGTCAGGATTGTAGTGCCAGTCGTTTCGAGTTGAAAGGAGGAATTACAAGATTAATAAAGGAAAGATTGTGTTTTTTGTAATTTTGGTGTGTCCATGACCGTACGTAGTCATTCGATGAAGTAGACATGGTGTTAATTTTTGTTTATAAGATATTTAAATTGCTAGATTAACCTAGAAGTCCACTTTGTATCCTCGAACATGAGGCGCAGGGCTACCGCCAGAACAGAGCCAAATAACACGTAATTTCACGACCAAAGATTCACGACCATCGCGGGTTTTTTCACGGCCAATCCAGCCTTATGGGTTGGTTATAGTGTGTTTGGTCGTGACAATAACTTTAATATAATTGTAAATTGAACAGTTTAGTTAAATTGAAACACATATTTTTATTATAACTAACAGTATAATTGAAGGATTGTTGTAGAAAGATTTAGATTATTTATGAAAATTCACGACCGTACCGCTTGTCCCTGACCATCACGTTTACGATTTCTATCATAAAAATTTCAAAAATTAAAATATCGTCATATTTCAATGTTTTATACACAAAAGAAGCACACCTCTATACAAACATAACAATTTTTCGGGTCTCAGGTAAGTTTTTTCGAAGTTATACAAACTTAAAAAGATTTTATTGGCTTTTTTTCAATTTTTTGAGTTTTTTTATTTTTTTATAGAAAGACCAAATATACAAAAGCTCAGTGACCTTTTTATTGTATAATGGTCATAAAAGTAAATTAGTTTATAGCAAAACATAGTTATAAAAATAATATTAACTATTTTTAATATTCATTTTAACGTCTGTTATCTTCGTGACAGGATTTTGTGTTTTTCCACTAAAGATGCTTTAAAAAAAAAATTACCAAAGATATTGCGTTACCATGGACATTTTATGAAACTTCAAAGGTTAATGAAAAAAAAAATAATAAAAGTTTTGAAAAAAGGGGGAAAAAATTTGCAAAGTGCTTTCCCTGAAAACGTACGTTTTTAAATTTTCACTCCAGTAATCAAAATATAATTATTTTGTTTTTGTACAAATGCCAACACAGTGTATTTTGTTAAAACATTGAAGTTGCTAAGTTAGTTTTTAATCGGAAAATAAAAACAAAATATTTTTAATATATAGACTTAATATTGAATGGAATACACGTTGAGGAATACAAATTTCATATTGTAGTTTAATCATCACGCATCATAATAACTAATTTATGATGATTAAATATTGGCCTAATGATGAATTTTTCGTTCAAATGCCAACACAGTGTATTTTGTAATGTTGAAACATTCAAGTAGATAAGTTATTTTTTTACTAAGTACTAATAAGTATTTTGACTATTTTTGGCTGTTATTTGAACAGGACTAACTCCTTATCAAGCATGATCCCACTTTCTTGGGGGCAAAAGCAAAAGGCAAAGTCAAAAGCCTTTCCCCCTTTCCGGAAACCGGGCTTTGTAGGAGCGGCAAAACAAAACTCAAGAATCAGAGAGAGAGTCCTTTAACTGCGGAGCATTAACATTAAACATTACCATTTCTATAATCAATGGGAAGACCGAGAGTCTCGATTCAATCTCAATTCTCAATCCAATCTCCTTTCTAGAAATAATTGTTCAAATGATTTCTCATTAGCCTACTTCGAGGATAATCATGCAAAATAATTGAAAACTCACTAATTTACATTCGATCCTGTTAATCAAATCAGTAATGATATGAATGTCTATATCGTTACGACTCCAACAATTTTCACTCTATTACTACAACCTACAACCAATACAACACAACGGTTGAGGGAGATATAGCCAGAAAGACAATGTAACTATTTAACCAGTAGATCAGCAAACGACACAGTTTGGTTGCTGTGGTTGATTTTCAAGCTTCTCATTCCAGGCGGGTCAGAGAACATAGAGAATGCCAGGAAGCGTTGACAGAACAGAAAAGAGACTACCTGTACCTCTGATGCAGTGTACACCCGTACACCCAAAGAAGTCCATCTTTGTCATGGACTTCAACAACATGCTGAAGGACAACGCTGTCACATTCACATGGCACTATGCGTGTATGATTTTACAAGTGAGTGTAGACACCTATTATGGGCTAGAACAGACTACCATGCTCACCTCTCTGGTACTAACATGGCTAACTAGGACCAGAATAAAAATTCACACAATCACAGCTTTAGGAGGAATATTACCACATAAGCTTACACAGAGAGTAGTTTCTATTTGATGTTTATCAGAAACGAAACTAGGGGTTAGTTTGGTCAGCCTTTATACTAATTTAGTTGTGCCTTTACAAAAGGAGTAGAGCTATAAGATTGGAAATAATAACTGGGCCAGGTTACTAAATAATGTGTTATTATAGCACCGTATAAATTCTGGCACATAGATAATTTTATTCTGAGTTTGTTTAAATATTACAATGATTTCTTTTACGTTATTTGAGCTTTTTACGGACTTATGTCCCTACAAGCTACTAGTTATGATAAATAAATACATTTTTTCTCGTGTCTACGCCAGTGGCATTTTTGTAAGGATGTCAAACACTTTTAAAGGAAAGCTGTCCAAACCCATTAAAGTTTTGTGGATGTGCCGGGGATTGAACCCGCCCTCCCGCACCGAAGCCCGAGACGCTAAACACTAGGTTAGCAACACACCCAATTGATCAACTAGTCATCAGATACTGACGTAGGTAGGTGTTTAATCAATACCTAATTGATAAAATATATAATAATAATAGATAATTAAATAATTATGTAATTTGAATAATCAATGCTAGCGGTTAAATGATGAAAAGGTGATCATACAAAATTTTACTCGCCATATCTCCTTGGAAGAAAGATTGGATTGGAGTCAGTCGGACAGTCGTAGTAGAATTGGATTAGAAGAGAAGATTAGAAGAAGAAGATATTGAAATGGAAATGATTGCCGAAAGCCGATTGGTTATGGTCGGACGGACTACGGACTACGGAGTCGGAGAAGGAGAAGATGTAATGTCAAGATTCTAGAATAGAGGCTTCGTTGATTCATTCTACAATAACATGTCATAAATTTAAACATTTCAAATATGTATCTAACACATTAACTTAGAGTTTCTGTGGACATAAGTTGCTGCAAAATTGTTCTAAAGGTTAGATAGAGTTGCCACAGAAAGTCGTGAAGATGGAGGCAGTACCTAGGCTACCCATGATAAGCTTCCTATTGAAAGTTAGCCCAGATCGGCAACCTACTGACTTTGGTAAACTTAAACAGGTTGGTTTTTAGTTTTCACCTTTATAATATTACCTTTAGAAATACAAAACCCATGCCAGGATAATTTAAGCACTTTTCTGTTGTGTAATATAAACCCATTGTAGGCCTAGCCTAGGCCTAAATCTGTTATTCCTGTAGCTTAAAGGTAACTTAAATGTGGACCCAGTTTCGGGACTTTGTATCTCGTAAAGTATAAACTGGAAACAAATAGGTTTTATGCCGTTAGAAAGACGAAATTTCAAAGTGTTGTTAGGCCTAAGTTAGTTATTTACACTGATTAAAAATGCTCAGTGTGAGCCTGCACGGGGGGGGGGGGGGCTGTACAGCAAACAACTGAGCAATAGCCTATCTGAATTCGTCCCACATAGGCTACAAGACAGCATCTCTTGTGACACTGATTTCTTGAAATCGCCAAAACCAATGCTGAGTGGTCGATATCAGCCTGTGCCTACTAGGGCCTACGCGGTCGTTATCGGGGCTGCACTTTACTTTAGGTCCTACTCATTCGAAATGCTCATTCGAATGAAAATATCGATTGATATATCAATTAATCAATTGTTTCGAATTCGATTTATTGTTTGGTTAGTTAGGTAAGGTTAAGTTAACCTAATCTAACCAACCAAACGATATATCGAATTAAACAATTGAATACCGGTAACCAATATTTTTATTCGATTGAGTGTAGGACCTAAAGTAAAGTGCAGCCGTAATCGGCCGTTCCCATGATTAAACTTTGAACAGTGCTGCTACCCTTGGGTGTTTCAGTGAACTACCTCCACTCTCAGGGTGAAGCAGCACAATCACCGCTGCTCTATTGTGATTTGTCAGACTGAAATATTTGAATGCCAATTGCGTTCGCTTATTCGATGGCGCGCTGGGGTTTCGCCTGGGCCTCACCGCCATTGGCGAGTGCCTTTTTTTAAGTTACTGTAGGCCTAGTGAACGTGTTAAGGAAAACGATAAAATAAAACATGCTTAGTAAGACTCTGGAAAACCTTATAGGCTACCGTACAGTAGCCTATTATTAAATGATGCTAAGTCATCACTCCAACTTAAGTAGGTAGGCCTACTGGATTAAATAAAAACAGAGTAAGATGGATCCCCATAGTTTTTTAAAGTAGGTACCGTAGGCCTACCTAACATTTTGATTGAGCCTAAATAAGTTACTTGACACAGTCATGTCAATATTTTAACATTGTAATTTACAAATGAAAAGGACAAAAGGCAATACGAGCCGGCAATGCCATGCCCAGGCAGATATATGCCACAGCTTTTGTTAACGTTTTTAAGAAAATTGTCTTGTCTAGCTTACCTTGGTTAGCGTTAGCCTTTGTGATTTTAATTTTATAGGTTACCGGTACTGCAGATCAGTTGTACGTTAATATACTAGGCTACCTATAATCATTAGGCCTAACTTATTAAAAGTTGTATTTTAAGAAATCACAAATTAATTGGCCTAGCCTACTTTCTGTTTTTACTTTACTTTTAACAGAAACATTCCTAAAACATAGGCTAATTAACTTATTGTTTCCGACTGGAAAAAAATATACTTAGGCCTAAAACAACCTCGGTTAATCTGAGGGCTCAGGTAAACGGTGCTCGGATACCGGTAAGTATTACTGTATTCTATAGCCTATGAGTTAAATGGGTTTATTTGTGTTTTTGTTTTTGCAATCTAAAGGCAGTTTAAACTTGTTCCAGTATATCCGTGACTTTTATCATGATGACCCTGAGACTTATTCAGCAGAGTTTCACAAGCTGGAAGCACTCCGAGCCACGGCTATGCGGCCAGCCAACGACGCCACTGGATGCGCAGTGCTCAAAAAGTATTACTGCCAGTTACATTTCCTCCAAAGCCGATTTCCTATGGGCAAGGATGGAGCTGCATCCGTAAACTTTACATGGTTAGTTTACTGTCTAGGTATATTCATTAGGTTTTGACATAGTTGATGGTGGAATTTGAATTCATTTGGGTTTGTTTGTTTGACTAACTTAGTTTTTTAAATGACTTATGCTAGTTACTGGGTTGGTTATAATCTTCTCGTAAAATATCTAAATTAGCCTATACATTAATCTTAAGTAGCCTAAGTTATAGGCCTATGTAGTCTACCTAAGTAGCCTGATTTTAATTTTCACACCCTACAGTAAAGGTTAGGTCACATTAAGTCAGAATAGACTAGGGAATTATGAAACTACAGCAAGCTCTGTTTATGAAATAATATGGGAACAGTTTGAAATATACAGAGCGGTTAAAGCTGACCATCAAAATGTTTTGAACGATAAACTCTCCTTCCAATCCAACTATATTTATAACACAGCTATAAGGATACTGGAGGGAAACAATGAATGAATGAACACGCACCGGTGATAAGAAGACAGAGACAACGTCATAGACCACTTTGACCACCAGTCTAGACTTTACCTCAGCCCGGTCACGATCAATTGTCAATGTCCCTTCGTGTAATGTGTGTCCGTTCCGTGTATCGTGTTTTGTATATGTTTTATTTATTGAACTCTGTTAACGACCTTCGAATGAAGTGATCACTTGACACCTTGAGGCCTGAAGATGGTTCAAAACAAGAACCGAAACTAGTTGCCTAAATCAGCAACAAAGGATTACTATATGCAGGTATTGTAAACCATTTTAAGAAAAATATCTTTTGTGAGAAAACAACTCAATTTCCAAAATAGCCTATTTGCCATAAAATGTGTTTAAATGCTTTTTTGCTTCTGTCTTTCATGTGACAATCTTCAATCTTGTTTCATCGATTTTAGAAATTGTGTTATATTTAAAGCCTACAGAGTTTTTCTTAATTATCTGGTGATGCGTCATTTGCAGGAGAGACACTTACGCTAGCATGGTCTGCACCTTGGCTGATATCAGGTATGAGATGGTCTCCGTGCTATACAACATTGGGGCCTTACACTCTCAGCTTGGCGCAACAGACCCCAGAGCCACCAACGAGGGACTCAAACTGGCCTGCACGCACTTCCAGTGCGCCGCTTATGCCTTCCAGGTACTGGGACTACTTAAACCACATAGGCTACCAGAAAGTTCCAATATTACTGAAAATGATTGAAAATGTAACCTTAGGGGAAACAAAACCACCTCACATTGTATCTATTTCCACACTTTTGAGTGCGTTTTTGAATCCTAAAACGAAATTAATAGGAATATCAAGCGAAACTTTTTGAAATTGATATCCCATGCATTTCTGATAAAAAATAATAGGTAGGTCTATCAATAGAGTGGTGCTAAACTAAGCTTCCTGTGCCGATGATCTGATTGACCACATTAACTGATGGTGTGACAAAATCAATCACCATTTTTTATAGGACTAGCAGTTGTGATTTCAAATATAATTTGTTTCTAGATCATTTTTTGAATGTAGTCCTATCCATTGCCATGTTGATCATAATCGCTTAACTAAATGGGTCAGGAGCGCAAAAGGTTTTGGGTTTGTTAGGGTGTAAGGAAGAGAAAAATGCTCTACAAAGAAGGGGGCACAAGTATCTCTTGTTTCCATTTCCAAATTAAACGGCTCAATGGTAATTTATTTGTTCTACAGACCTACAGTGAAGTTTTATTCAACTGCACAATCATTAGCTAGCCGCACATGAGATTGCCGAACCACAGTACATCTGATGATACTCTCATTAGGAACAATCAACATTCACAACAAATTAATGACACCATCAGCTACAAAAGCCTTTTAATAAATGGTTTTTTTCCATCCTTTGGGGAATAGAAGATTATAAATGTTGTGAAATTGATTTTAAAAATTTACTAAGCCGCTGTTATTTTTTTTAGCATCTGAAGGACACATATCCACAGCCCGCGGGGCTGGACCTGGCACCAGACTTGATGCAGTTCATGTACCAAATCTCTCTGGCGCAAGCTCAAGAGTGCATTCTGGAGAAGAGTATGACTGATAATAGAAAAGCCACCATTAATGGTAGTGATACTACTCAACCATTGTAACTTAATTAACTAGTAATATAGTTTTAAACTACTTTTTTACTTTCTCAGCCTTTCATTTAGGGGAAAACCCTCAGATAACTAGAAAACCTGGTAAATCCGAATCCAGTCAAAGAAATTATAATAATTACATGAAAAAATACCAGTCTTCTAAAGTAATTCTTTTTAATTAGGCTTTAATGGTTTTTGATAACATTATAGGAAATGTTTTATTAACAAAGCTTGTGATCCCTGTTCTAAATTGGTTAGGCATTATTTATTAGCTAATGGAGGCCAAGGGTTTTGCTAGTTTGGGTTGAGTATGCTCCCAATGATTGGGGGTTCTATTGGGTTATTTAATTATCTTAAATCTCTTTATCATTTGTCATCTTGAATCCTTCAGTCTGAATTGTTTAAATTCCCACTTTAATTCAGTAGGCCTACATGTTGCACCATAATTTGTTGTTTTTGAGTCCTTTTTGTTGGAACATGCTTTTTACCAATAACTCATGCTATATTCGTAGCCAAAGTAGCTGCACAGATTGTGGACTACTACAACATGGCTATGAATGCTCTAACTCGTGGAGGGTCAGATGGTAATTCCGTCTTGGAGACAGTCGGCAACAGCCAGTTTAAGGTAAACTATTGACTTAGCAAAGTATAGTGTAATCATTGTTTGTAAAATAATAATGTAAGATGAAATAGTCTCAGATTTACAAGGAATCTCAATAGATTAAGGTTCTCCTTTGAGTCCCCTTTGCGGCTAAGTTGGCTCAATCCAATCTGAGGCAAGCTCTGTATTCTTTACTCCATCTTGTAAAGCTAGCTGGATCCCAACATACAAGCTTTAGTCTTGTTATAGTAGTTGAAGAGTATGTAAAGAAAAATATATGCTTCTGCCAAGGAAAAATCATGTTCTCTATTTTGGTCTATCTTTTACAATGTTGACATTACTCGACACTCGACAGCAAGTTCCTTCACTCTATTGGTTTTTTAAACGTTAGCCGAGTGAAAATTTCATGATTTACAGAGCTGGAAACGATATGTTAAGTTCAAGTCTACGTTCTACGGCTGCATTGCCCTGCTGTACCAGGGACAACAGTCGGAGGAGCAGCAGAAGATGGGCGAGAGGGTGGCCTACTACCAGGCAGCACTTGATAAACTGGCAGAGGCCACTAAACTGACCAAGGGGCTGGACCATCCGGAGGTGAGTGAAACTAAAGAAAGGGAAACAGAGCAAATGATGGACACAGGTTTACAAATTGGCAGAAACACTAAGGCCTACAAAAAAATTGGTGCTATATTTCATATGAAAAAATCACATTTTTAAGGATATCCCAAATTACCTGTAGGCTAGCCTATAGTCTACTGTAAAACATTTAGCCTTTAGACATTCCATTTCCATGTTAGATTTGTAGCAGATTTTTTATCAAAATCGACGTAGTTGATGTGAGCCACATATAGATTGCGCTGATCTAATTTACTAAATTCTGTTGAATACACACACCTAGTCAAGCTGCTTAGGGAATGATTTGTGGTGAGCTATAGCAACTGTTATAACCCATCAACCTAGTCAGCAATAAAAAGTTATGTACCTATAAAATAGAATTTTAAACACTAGTGACACTGGCTCACACAACTACGTTCTTTTTTTTTTAAATTGTCGGCAGCTGGTCCATATAGATGGGATGTCTACTTCAGAGATTAAGGTTAGGCTAAGATAGGCCATAAAGTAATTTATTAGCACCACAACTTAAATAATGTGATTTTTCCAATTCTCATTTCAATAAATCTGCCAACATGTACACTGAAATTTGTTAGGGTAGCGGTTTTGGGAGATTGGTAGGAGTTTTTTCAAGAACGATTTTTGCAAACTGAACACTAAATCTGTGATTTTGGTTTTGAGGTTTTCACTTGTCCTTAGATAGTTAGATAGATGTGTTTTTTTAGGCATATTTGTCCTAATTTCTAGTATAGTTAAAATACAATTTTATACATAATCTTTAGTAGTTTTTATTTGTTTACTTTTGCTAGTTTGAAAAGCTTTTGTCATGAATAATAACAAAATTTATTTTTGCTAGTGTTCAATTAAGTAGGTCCTACCTATTTAAAAAATGTATATTATTGCCCCTGAGTTGGCACAACTTTAAATGAACTAAACATTATTCTGTTTATCAATAGTGACGCTTTCACTTATCAGTCTATGAATGCTTAAAGTAAACATCATTGGCGATAGTAAAGAATAAACATTAGATATTCTCAAGTGTTGAATAGCCAAGTTTTAAATCTCAGTGTATTTTCACATACTGCCCAAATTTAAACTACATTACACCCCTGCAATAGAAATAAGTTATGGTATTACAAAGGACTTAATTTACTCTGTAAGCTCATCTCATCATAATCCAAATGAAGGAATGAACATGCTTTTGATAAATACATTTAATTCAATTTAAAATTTCTTTTCCACTTCTACCGTGTAGGAAAATACCTATATTGTAGATAATCCTATTGGTTGTGGTGGCAACTAGCTTTGGCTTGCTTTGGTTTTCAACCATTATCAGGCATAACAACGTGAACATCGTTTCTCCTGAAGGTTGCCATATTCCACACACATTAAAAAACAAACACTCAACACGCATAACTAGAGTGTCTTATCAAAATTTACAGAAAACAATTATCAAAATGATACATAAAAATGTGATGAAATGTATCGTACTTTCTTTCAACCGGTGATGAGTAAAGGTTTGCCCATGATTCAAATTCCAGTGCCCTAATAAATTGATTAATATTTGCATCGCTGAATTTCCTCTTATACTCAAAATGGACCTTTGAACCAATATTTAATTTGGTGGCTTCACTATTATTGATAATTTCAATAATTTGACAATCATGGTCTGAGAGTGGAGTGTTGATTCCTATGACTCTGTAATAATTGCTTTCTAAATTTGTAAAATATTATCAATTGCGGTTTGAGTTGATTCAGTGATTCTGGTGGGAAAATCAATTAATGACTTAAATCCATTTGCTTTTACAATGCTGCAATAATCTATTTCTATTATTGTAACTTTTATCCAACATATCAATGTTTATATCACCAACAAAAATTATATGTATAAATTTTGAACTTGGAATTTCAAGCATGGTATTTAAATCTTTCAATAAATTCTGATTCGTTTTGTTTTATGGGATTTCTATAACAGCCAATTATAAGTAACTTTTTTTTAAACAAAACTTTTTGAATTTCTACTAAACAAATTTCAAAAATTGTTTCTGAAATAAGATTTTGAATTTCGGGTATTAATATCTCTTTACAGTTAAGGTACGGCTTTGTTAAAACAATTTTAAAATTTTTTTTTTTTGTTAACTTATAAAGCTTCCAGTAAACCTGTCAAATGATTTTTACCTCTAAAACAGTTGTCTGAGTTTTATCCAAATCCAATCCAATCCAATCGGCCGTGTTTACATCCGGTATCGAGCATTCAAAATGGTACCGCCAATTGAGACTGCCGCCGACTGTGAAGTGCGCGCTGTAATTAGATTTTTAAGTGCTAAAGGTGTGAAAGCCATTGAAATTCATCGACAGATTAGTGAGGTGTATGGTGAGAACATTTATGAGTGACGGAATGGTACGCGTCACTGTCCCCAGTACCCAGTGTGTTGCTCATCATGAACGTTGGTGGGGCCGTCTTTAGATGCCCTTACCGACTTGCGTACCATTCCGTCACTCATAATGTTCTCACCATACATTTCAGTAATCTGTCGATGAATTTCAATGGCTTTCACACCTTTAGCACTTAAAAATCTAATTACAGAGCGCACTTCACGGACGGCGGCAGTCTCAATTGGCAGCACCATTTTGATTGCTCAAAATCGGATGTAAACACGGTCAATTGTTGTCGAATTTCCGGCTAGGGCTTGCCAATACACATACACAGCGAAAGTGTCCAAAATGCCAATCGCAGCACTGGAACGGAGAAATTTAAATACGGTACTTACTTAAAAAACATGCCTCGTATGTTGTGTCATGAACTTTTTTGGTGGTGCCATCTGCCTGGAACTTTTTTCCTTAGTAACTTATGTATCTATTCCATCTTCCTTAAAATAGACTGAGAGAAGTAGCCTATTATAAAGCACCAATGGAAGTCATGAAGCCAGGAGGTAGACATATGCAAAATAACACTTATATTTTGTCCCACTGTTGGACTCTTTAGATGATAGTTTGATTGGAACTGCCATTTCATACCATTAATCAATTCACGGTTTTGCCTCAAAATCTAACAAGAAACATTTGTAATGTCCCAAGGTTATTGAAGACGCAATCACTTTCACCATGGATGTGGTGGAAGGGAAGCGAAAAGCGGCGAAAAATGAGAATGAGTTCATCTACCATGAAGAGGTCCCGGAAAAAGACGCACTGCCGGAAATTAAGAAGGCTTCACTCGTAAAAGGGATTCCCTTTGAAGTGACGGACCCTGAGATCTCTGGTCCAGACATCTTTGGACGACTTGTGCCGATGAAGGCTCATGAGGCTTCGTCCCTGTACAGGTAACAGAGGATTTGTAGTAGCTTTACGACGTATTTCCGGGGGAGGCGTTCGGAAAATACGCGAGTCCGGTTTTGACCCGGTTGCCGGATAGCTAGTCGCGCTGGGTTGCGGTTCCAGGGGTCGAAATGTCTAACGAATCGACAGTAAAGGGCGGACTAATATTTTGAAAAGAGAACGGATGGCTCAGACAAAGGGTATGAGATATAAAATCTCCAACAATCGAACCCACGTTATCATCATTGCCATATTTGTTCTCTATATGGAAAGAAAGGTGCGCTGCGGGCGAACCACAGTTCGGGACGGAGTGCTGTGGGCGAACCACAGTTCGGGACGGATTGCTGTGGGCGAACCACAGTTAGGACGGATCGCTGTGGGCTAACCACAGTTAGGGATCGGGGAGTGCTGTGGGCGGACCACAGTTAAGGATAGGTTATTATTGCTAAGAGCTGTGGGCGAACCACAGGGAACTATCGCTAACTAAAGCTAATTGCTGTGGGCGAACCACAGGGAATTATCACTAGCTAGAGCAAAGTGCTGTGGGCGAACCACAGGGAATTAACGCTAACTACGACTAAATGCTGTGGGCGAACCACAGGAATTATCGTTAACTACGACTAAATGCTGTGGGCGAACCACAGGAGATTATCGCTAATTACAGCTAAGTTCTGTGGGCGAACCACAGGGAATTATCGCTAGCTAAAGCTAAGTGCTGTGGGCGAACCACAGGGAACTAAAGCTAATTGCTGTGGGCGAACCACAGGTAGGATCGGAGGATGCTGCGGGCGAACCACAGTTAAGGATGGTTTACACAGATATTTACACAGATTACACAAATAGGCTAGTATCTCGATAATTCAATTAAATAACACGTCTTGATGTCGCACAGTATTTACCTGTCACACTACAGATAATTCGTCCCACAAAACGTTAGATATCTTCGATTAAAGCCGTTAAGATAATAATTTAAAACCACACAACACACAGTAAATAAGACTACAACAGCTAAATGGTTTCCTCGTATGTGTGAGGATGAGAGATACGGTAAATTCCTTTGAATGTAATTATTGTTCAATCGAGTTCAGTTACTAATTACATGTAAAAGTATCGAATTATGTGAGAGGCAAAATGTCAATGTATAGCTGCATTAGCTGCAATGAAGTTAACTCTTGATCAATGCTAAACATACTGAACAAGTTTTACGTTAAGCTGACTATCAGAATATTCAATGAAACTTGATCTTGTACTAGACTTGAACGAATGGTACGACAAATGTCTATTTCAAAGCAAGGTGATGACTACCTTATACAGATTCGTCGTACTTGGTCCTCGGAGACCCGTGCGTGGTTGACAGTCGTCTGTCTCGTGCCCTCGTAGTGGGTATGGTCGACTCCCTGACTCGACTATCAGGTAACGTGAAGTCTGCTCTCTCGTGTCCTGGCCTCGACTGTCTCGAAGAGCTGCGTGTGGTGCAACGGCCGGGGACGACGCTTGTGCGCAGGTCCAGTTGGGCATGCGCAGAGCGCCCGGCGCTGTGCGAATGGAAGCCGCCGACTCAAACGTTGGCGGGATTTACAAATTTACATTTGTGACATTGCATTGGAGCTAAATCGGCCCCTTTCACAAAAATATTTCATGGCAAAATTTAACATGTTACAGCTTGAAACTGTACTTTGTAATTAGGGTCTAGATTGATACGTGAAATCTTCTTCACTATAGTTTAAGATAAGATCAAGGTTATAACTTGAGTAATGTCCCACTGTTTGCCTTACAGCAAGTAATTGTTTGGCCAAATGAATGGTTAGAGCCTAAAAAGAATGCAGGCACGATATATTATTATTAAATCATTAGATAAATATTTAGCCTATTGGTCAGTAATGTATATTCGGAAATGCTTGGCTGCCTGGCTGGTATTTAATAACATGTAATTGCTAGTTGTCAGTTTATTTAACCTTTAGCTACATAAGTTAAAGTGACAGTTATGTATAAGGCCTAGGGTTTAGAATTTTTAGTGATCATAGCCAGCCAGGGTTACTTGAATGGGAAAGATTTGTTTAAGGAAAGGCTCTAGGCCAGGATTTTAAATTGTAGAAAAAGGAGGATAGCAGCTAGCTTACCTTGAAAGTGTGGGTAGGCCATAGAACAAGTAGAAAATACGCTGTGCACACAATATTTCGTCCCCTGAGGGACTTTGTCAAGTGTAGAGAAAGAGTTTATAAGTTTATAATCCATTTTGTAATTTATAAACTCTTTCTCTACACTTGACAAAGTCCCTCAGGGGACGAAATATTGTGTGCACGGTGTATTTTCTACTTGTTCTATGGCCTACCCACACTTTCAAGGTATCCTAGCTACCATTCTTTTTCTACAATTTTGAATGGGAAAGAGTCCAAACTGACACAAGCTTTTCAGTCACAGTTCTCAAAAAACCTTAGTCCATTCTCTTGTCTTTCTTAGTTGAGAATGCTGTCAGTGACAGTGAACTACTCTAATGTGTTGTGTATATAGTGTAAAGCTTTGTCTTTATTGTCCACAATGACTCTTACCCATTCAGAAAATCCAGGCTATCCTCTCTAAAAATCCTAATTTCTTTAAATTTTCTCCTAGTAAATTTTTTTATAGTTTGAATAGTTTCGGAACTAAACTCGAAGCAAAACCTAATTTTAATCTCCTCGCTCCTTTTCAATTCATCTTTAAATTTATTGGTACCACATTTTTGTTGAAAGTATATATATAAAAGCTGTAGGCTTTTAAATAAATATCAAAAAAATATCATCCTGCCAATAGGAGCAAACAATCAGAGACAAGAGTGGTTTCGGTAGAAGAAAGAAAACAACGGTCGGAAAGAATGAAGACGTATTGGGTGGACAAGAAGAAGAGACAGAATTTAAAAAAATCTAACCATTATATTGACTTAAGTGGTCCAATGCTGGCCATAAATTAGTAATAATAATAGTAATAATTAAGGCTGTAGGCTAGTTTTTTGTATGGACTTAGTTCTTCCTTGTACTGTATTGTAATGTTTGCAGTGAGGAGAAGGCCAAGTTGCTGCGCAGGATGGGAGCCATGATAGATGAGAAGGACGAGCAACTGGTGGCATTCACGTCATCCCTCCAGTTGGAGTGTGTCAATGCACACCTAGAGTCCAACCGACTACCACAGGTGGGTGTGAATGTGTCCTTCCCACACACACAATGATGTGATGCTTGAGTGTTAGTGTGTATTGAGTTTGTATTATGGTAGGCCTGCTACAGTCTACTTTTAATTCAAACATTTGATGAATCATAACTTTCGATAATTAAAAATAAAAGCTCAGCCCGTAGATAATCACTTAATATTTCAAAGTTTTTCCATGAATTTCTATACACTCGGTAGTTCAAGCGGAGGGTAAGCTGATTTGGAACACACATTAAATTGAATGTTCCGTCAGCAGAAATTTCTACAATTTTAAGGTAGGGATGTGATTTTATAGATTTTTTTCTGTCTTTAGTTTGCTGTGATCGTTTAAGCTGTTGTTTGAACTATCAAGAGTTGTATGTAACGGTGCGTGAAGAAGTATTTGTTGTATTGTCATGGCAACCAAACATAAATACAAGTCCCTTTAACTGTGGATAAAAGAAGTGATCACAGCAATTGAAAGTGGTAGAGTAAAGCCAGAATGTATCAAATCCCTTCTAAAAGAAAAATAAGTTTTTTACACAATCTTTGCCCTAAACAATGTTGTGATGAGCAAGAAAAAAAAAGTAAACAAAAATAACAGATTTTTTAAAACTAAAATGAGCTGTTTCAGTATAAATTTCTGTACCTTACGTCTTTCGGAAGTGAACTCTGTAATTAAAACGATTTCTTTGCCTGGCTCACCAATTTTGAGCTATCAAGAGTCCATTGTACAATGATTTTCTACACTACTTAACATGCCTTGCAAGTCAAAAATCAAAGGTTTGATCAATGCTGTATCTCGTAATGTTCCAGGACATAGTAGACCGCTGTGCCGCTCTCAGTGCCAAGCCTGATGCCATTCAGAACCTGATAGAGGCCATGGACAAGCTGTCGGACATCTATCATGATGTAGAAGCCATGCTGAAGGAGATAATGGAACTAATTCAGGTGAATCATTCTGAACTGGCCTGTAGTTTGTTCTTGGCCACTTGTAGCATACTGGTAATGTTTTGAATTGTGTTATACTTATCGATCACTAACAAACTCACATCGTTTTCTGCAGCAGTGTAGACATCATCGTCGTCTTCCGCAATGGTAGCAGAATAATGAATATCTCCAGTGGACATGTGGTTGGGTATCAGTATGATTCGGACTTTTGTCAAACTATTATCGACAAAATCCCTAATTTCAAAATATTAATTTTGTATACAAAAGAGAAAGTATCCATGACTTCATTCCATGGCCTAGGTATAAAAAACTGAAAACTAATATACCTTCCTAACTAATTTTTCAATTGTTACCAGAACGAAGAGGTGGAAGAGAAGGAGTATCAGCAGGTGATGGGTAGCCGGCCTCCGTCTATAGTGGCTACAGATCTGACAAGGGAGGCCAAGAAGTACGAGGAGGCTCACAACAAGGCTGCAATGAGTAACCAGACTCTACACAAGGCTATGACTCAACATATAGCAAACCTGAGACTGCTGGAACTGCCTCTTTCAGAGCTTGCTCAGCAAATACCATCCGTCTCAGCACTCAACTGTGAGTAACCATTGCTCTTGTACCCTCTGTGTCAGCTCAGCACTCAACTGTGAGTAACCATTGCTCTTGTACCCTCTGTGTCAGCTCAGCACTCAACTGTGAGTAACCATTGCTCTTGTACCCTCTGTGTCAGCTCAGCACTAAACTGTGAGTAAATTATTCTCACAGTTTTAACCATGTCAGTTAATCTCCTGACATGGTAGAAAATTTGTGATCAACCACATTTGCTGTAACTTAAATCAAAATATCCTACAATAATGGTGACGACTTGAATTTAAGCAATGTTTTTCCACCTGCTAAATATTCCAAAATTCCTTTCTTGAAAAATGTAAAAATCATTCCAATCCTTCTAAAAACCGGTAATATAAATTTTCTGAAACTAATAACTTTTGTCCACAGAGTTAAGTGCTGGCAACTTACCCCTAGCCAGCAATTTATGTTTCTGTAGTTATTGTTAAGAATCTTGATCTGTGTAATCTTAAGCTTTTGATAATGTGTAAAGAGCAACTGAAGATAATGTGACGATGTTGTGATTTGTAGTGGGAGAACAGCCTGTGGTGAAGGAGATGCAGATGTTGGTAGGAAAGGTGGAGGAGATGAGGAGACAGAGAGCCATGTTGTCATCACAGCTGAGAGAGAGTGTGTGTGCAGACGACATTACAACACAGCTGGTCACGAGACAACACGACAACCTGGAGGCTATTTTTCAGGAAGAACTGCAGAAGCATGTCAAATATGTTAGTATTAATGTTTCATTTTAAAATATTGCCACTAAACTGAACTATTGTGTTTGGTCAAGTGGTTAAATTTTGAGAAATTGTTGTGGGAACATGAAAGGTTCACAAAATGGTTGAAGTAAATGCTATTTCATATTAGATGTTCAATCTTTGTTTCACAAATAAAATTGCAAATAGTTTGTCAGATAATATATGTATAGGACAGCAATGTACTGTAGTACCATAGATAAATCATACTCCTTAGTAGATTTGCCATCCTTATGGAACAGCTGAAGCCAATTTTATTGTTTGTTCTGTACGTCCAACTGTAGAGGTTATGTTTTGTTTACAATTTGTTTCTTGTTATTTCAGTCATTTAAAACCTCATTTAATCATATAAAACGATTTAATCATAAAGAATAACTGGTCCCCTAGTTATATAACCAAATAGTAAAGCACAAATCATGAAAATAACCCTAAAATAATAGAAACAAAATGTGGTCTACCCCAGCGATCAGTGTGGACGTACATGAACTAGACATGAAAAACAAGCTTCAAAATTTACAATGGGATGAGGAGTCTACTTGTGTTGCTTAGTCTATGGTAGTACGTTCTGTACTTAATTAAATAAAGGAGACGAGAATGAGAGGACCCGTGTGAAAAATGTACATTTTTATAGGTTTGGTTCTTAGGCAAAAGGAATAATGCAATAGGATATTGCATAGGGAATAAAACTACTAATTTTCAATAAATTAAATTTGTTACTTTTAAATCTACTTGAAGTGTGATTTACGTGACCTCAATTGAAGTAACCAGACAATCGGGTGTAAAAATACTAGGCATATTTCAAATCCCTTTTACTGTTTTGTCTACAATCTATTGTTATTAAACTTTCCACTAACGGATTAGCTATTAGATTACAATTCACATTTAAACCGTGATAAAGGAAGTTGGTAAGCAAAACTGGATCTGTGAAAATCAACTCTAAAACTATTTTTGAACCGCAAGGGGTCGAAGCCCTATACGCTTACCGTGCTTTAGACAAATGCACTCGCCTTAATTCCCTTTGCTCAAAGCGCTATGGACGACTATACTTGCCTTATAATACAGAGTGCATTGGCTGGTCTATTAAGTCTGAATTTAGTCTCCTTAACTTTTTATAAGGTCTTAAAAATTTAAATTTTCCAATTTTTCAAAAGTTTGAAGTGCAATATTTTTGGTGGGGCAAACTATAAAAATCCAATTTTTACATATGTGATGTGCCTATTTTATGGTAGGAACATACAACAAAAATTTAAATGTTGGTATGTGAGTGAAAATTTAAAAACGTACGTTTTCATGTCCCTGGCCTTTTACTTCGTATATACTGGATTTGTAGTTTATTATTATGTGTTTTAATATTTTTTGGGACGGGGGCAACATGTTACACACATTTATTTGGTTTTAAATAGGTTCTAGGTATTTTTTTTTGTATTTTTAAAGTCTCGAAATTCACGACCATGACGTGTCCCTAGGGTACATTTTCCAACTTTCACGCTGTTTTTAAACTAATTATTCATGCCGAAATATGTAAAGCCATATTTTTATGTCATCAATGGTTATTAAACTTACAAAAAAGGAGCATATTATAATTTTGTTGTCATTACAAACTGACTACCATGACAAAATAAGTCTGTCCCTCGATTTGGCGTCACGGCCATTTGGGAAAAATTTTCAACTTTGGAGCACGACAGTGCCAAGCCTGGCGTCGATGGAGTCAGTTGGTTTTAGATACTAGTTCGGGGTGTACGTCAGGATTGTAGTGCCGGTCGTTTCGAGTTGAATGGAGGAATTACAAGATTAATAAAGGAAAGATGGTGTTTTTTGTAATTTTGGTGTGTCCATGACCGTATCTAGTCATTCGATGAAGTAGACATGGTGTTAATTTTTGTTTATAAGATATTTCAATTGCTAGATTAACCTAGAAGTCCACTTTGTATCCTCGAACATGAGGTGCAGGGCTACTGCCAGAACAGAGCCAAATAACACGTAATTTCACGACCAAAGTTTCACGACCATCGCGGGTTTTTTCACGACCAATCCAGCCTTATGGATTATAGTGTGTTTGGTCGTGACAATAACTTTAATATAATTGTAAATTGAACAGTTTAGTTCAATTGAAACACATATTTTTATTATAACTAACAGGATAATTGAAGGATTGTTTAGAAAGATTTAGATTATTCCAGAAAATTCACGACCGTACCGCTTGTCCCTGACCATCACATTTATGATTTCTTTCATAAAAATTTCAAAAATTAAAATATCGTCATATTTCAATGTTTTATACACAAAAGAAGCACACCTCTATACAAACATAACAATTTTTCGGGTCTCAGGTAAGTTTTTTCGAAGTTATACAAACTTAAAAAGATTTTATTGGCTTTTTTTCAATTTTTTGAGTTTTTTTATTTTTTTCTACAAAGACCAAATATACCAAAAGCTCAGTGACCTTTTTATTGTATAATGGTCATAAAAGTAAATTAGTTTATAGCAAAACATAGTTATAAAAATAATACTAACTATTTTTAATATTCATTTAAACGTCCGTTATGGTCGTGACAGGATTTTGTGTTTTTCCACTAAAGATACTCTTTTAAAAAGAAACTACCAAAGATATTTGCGTTACCATGGACATTTTATGAAACTTCAAATGTTAATGAAATAAAAAAAAAATAATAAAAGTTTTGAAAAAAGAGGAAAAAAATTTGCAAAGTGCTTTTTCTGAAAACGTACGTTTTTAAATTTTCACTCATTTGATCTCACAATCTAGTAACAATGCAATAGTAAACTTGTTACAAAATTAAGAGCGAGAATATGTCCAGGAAAAAAGATCAAGAACAAAAGTGGTTATCAATGGAAATAAAATATAAAAATAAAAGCGTGCGGTTCTATCTTAAGTCTTAAGGATTTACAGTCAACGGTTCTATGTAACTTAAATGGACTGGATTTTGCGTTTAAGAAAACTCATCCAGTGTGTCAGTGTTATACATATGTTACATTATTAAAACTGGTTTTATTGTTGTTATATTATTATAATTATAAAACAATCAGCTTTGGCTTATGGGAAACATATTTTTTTTAAGTATAAGTTGTGTTATGGTTAAGGCCACCCAACATATCTGTAGCGCGGTAAGGGTTAAATTACCTTTTTAAATACCATTTGCAGGTGCACTATATCACAAGGTTTGAAATGACACCTCAATCATGAAAACCTGTTAAGCAGGCCTGCTGTAAAAGGGAGGGATGTCACAGAGTAACCCTTGTTGTATTTAATATGCAAATAGATTCTAATATAGTAATTTTCTATTTTTCAGGTTTCATTAATTGAACAGAACCTAACTGCCCAAGATAACATCATAAAAGCTTTAACTGAGACGTATGCTCAGTACGCTCCCGTGCGCAAAGCCACGATGGAAGTGATGAGACAGCGAAACTTGACATTGTCAGCGCTCATATCGTCTTACGATGCGTACGAAGATCTCATAGCAAAGACCAACAAGGGGCAAGAGTTTTACAAGAAACTGGAAACAAACGTAACTAAACTTCACCAAAGGGTAAAGGGAACATGCAAAGTACAGCAGGAAGAGAGAGACACTATTCTGGCAAAGAACTGTAAGACACTTCCGTCAAAAGTGAAATCTTCTGTAGATGATGTCCATCCGTACATTCCTCCGGGGAAAGGACCCTCTGGTGGGCCAAAATTAAAGGATTACCTGGAGAACTATAAGAGAGACAAGTCGGGTGGAATCAGTCAAATTCCTGGAGGCCAAATGAATGAACCGTACTACAATCAGAGTATACCAGCCAAGCCTACTGGGTACCCTGACAATGTCACTGCGTATGACCCAACACCACTCTGGGTACCCAGTGTGAGGCCAGCTCCAGTAGGACAGGAAGGAACCACTCCCAGTACCACTTCACAGGACTTGAAACAAGAACTGAGCATGAGCTTGTACTCTTCAAAGAGCTTGTACTCTCCACGTATAAATACAGAAATCATTCATCCCCCTTATGAAAACATGTTTAAGAAATTAGAATATGATCATTCAAAATATGATTATGATGTCCTTCGTGAATATGACATTTCTGATGATGATCCCTCTACACCCAATCCTAAACTGCCCAACACTGGCTACCCTGCTCCAGCTCCCTCTTCCATTGGACAGTCTGTTACAACATATCCTGTCACACCGGCCTCACTGGCACAGAACTATCTAACTTCTTATGACATTTATAAACAGCCTGCTGAAAATGCCTCTCAATACAGCCATTCCACTTGGTATAGTTTACCAACAAGTACGCCTCAGAGTAATGTGAATTCCCAACAAGGATACACCCCGACCAATGTCCCGACTACATTGTCTCAAGAGTATTCAACTCAAACTTATCAGCCTAACCAGCCCCAGAATACAGGTCACGTGCAACAAATGACCCAGTATCCCAGTGGATTTCAAAACTATCCAACTCATAACTATCCTACAGCAACTACTGTCAATCTTCAGCATTATCCGACGACCATTGCAACCCCGCAAGCTACCAGCTATCAAGCAGGTTTCAACCAAAGTTCCTTGTACCCTTATCAAACTCCGTCTACGCAGCCTCAGACGTCTGTTATGCAATCTCAGCAGCCGATTGCTTCAGCATCACCAGCTTCTGGAGGTTACAATTTACAAAACAATCAAGTAGCCAATCCATACACTACTCAGAATTCTGCAGTTGCCCAGGGGACACAAGGGGGACAAGCGATGTATACACAATATTCAAATGCTGCTTACCCTGCTGCGTACTCTACTCTGACAAACCAAGGATCTCACGCATTGGCACAGTCCAGTGATCCGAGTAACCAACAGTATTCACCATACATTCCACAGATGTACTCTGCGTACACCAACGATAAAGTATCTCAAGCTAATACAACACCCTGGGCTAACTCTCAACCTGGTCAAATCCCCCAGAACTACTACAACCAGTACGCTAACTTCTCCCAGAGCACGGAAGCGAAGTACACTCCTGCTACGGCAGCTTCTTATTACTCTCGCGCCGGACAAAGCTCGAACTATCAGACAAGTGCATCCACACCGCAACAGACTAATCAGGTTGGCCAACCTACCTACACTCAGGGCAACTACTACTACCAACCTTACGGGTATCAGTACACATCAGGAACTTTGCAGAATTTGACCGTGGAGTCGCCCTCAAGAGTATACACCCCTAGCCAGACTCAACAAGGACAAATAACACCTCAAAGTCCAATGACGTACATGCAGGCCTCGAGTAACTTGACTCTCACTTCTGTCAACAGCGCCAAGAGCGTTACTGGGGATAAAGACTCTTCTAACGTAGATCTGTTGGCTGGTCTTGATTTTTCTGTCAGTCAAGATCCTCTTGTGCCTCAACAGCAGAAAGAAGTGTCTGTCAAACCTGTGTCAGTAAACTCCATTGTGGAAAAGTTTGCTGCTGTCACTTTGACAGAAACAAGTTCTTCAGAGACTACTGTGGAGTCAAATTCCTCTGTGGAATCAAAAGCATCGGTGGAATCATCAGAATCAGTCTACGTAACTGCCCAATCGGTAAGAATTAGTACTGTAACTAAACATTTCTTACGTTACACTCATTTTTAGGTGTGTTTTCCTTGTGTTTTGACTTTTAATTTTTAATTTCAGTAAGCTCTCAAATAACGAAATAAAATTGCTAATGACCACTTGTACAATCTCAGATAACCCAAAATCACAATTAACTGTCACAAAAATTGTTTATTTGACTTAGAAATATTTGTATTGGGTACAAACTCACTGACGTTAACTACCTACCAACTATACTCAGACCTCAGATACAGAGGAACGTGATGGCTGGTAGAGAACTTATTACATTTTTGTTCAAACATTCCACTGTTAAATATTTAACTCTTTTTTCTCTTAAATCTGATCGCTAAATCTGTGTGATCCACTTTAAAACACTTAAAATTGTCCATGTACCATAGTAAAAAAGTTTTAAAAATTTATTTGCTCTCTTGACACATATTTTTCAACTATGTATATTATTTTCTCCCTACCTCCCCAGTCCCCAGCTGCCTGTATACTTTGCTCGTAGAGAAGAGATTTTTTGCCCTACAATGTGTTAGTCTTCAAAATTTAATTTGTGTATAAATTCTCATTATTTAATTGTTTCTTCGGAATTTCAGAGCTCGGAAGACAAAGTAGGGAAGAAATTTCAATTAAAAGATCCATTTAACGACACCGAAGCCTTGAACCAGTTTGTCCAGGAAGTAGAGAAGTTTGAAAAATTTGTTGAGAGTTTAACGGTGAAAACTCTCAATGGACCTACACCACTGGATATCAAATGGAAGGAACTGCTAGATTTGAAGGTAATTTGTTTGTATATTTATTTTGTGTTATCGTTGTAAACATTCAGTAACAGATAAATATTTAATTTATTTTTATAAAAAAAAAAACATATAGTGAACAATATCTAAACTTCCCAAACCTCAACTAATTTTTTTCTGCTGTTTCCTTATAATCAGTGAAATTCTGTTTTTTTTTGTTTTATATATATATTTGATAATTGATAATTGATAATTGATTGATTTAAGTTATTGCAAGTGACTTTTTACACTTACCAAACATTGTAGCAAATTGAAAAAATGGGTTTAAAAAGGCGTGACAAAATATTTTTCCATTATTTAAATCTTTGTTTTAGATCAAAAGACAGATGTAAAGCTACTTTATGATTGTATTAAATACTAAATTGTTGAGATTTGTTCTCAGGAAAAGGACAGTGACAATCACAGTATTTCTGTCGCTCGCTGCTATCCAGTGAAGAACCGGTTCTCTGATATTCTTCCTTATGATAACTCCAGAGTAGAACTGCCGTCCACTAAAGATGATTACATAAACGCATCGTATGTCAAGGTATGAAATATCAATATCATTCATTTCCAAATTCAAGTTTAGCTCAAATATTGGTAACATTTAATATATGTATTTTTTTTCTGTTGAAAACTTCAAAAGGTACCTGCAAACAATAAATTGACTAAAAACATTTGTATAAAACTATCAACTAAAACAAAACTATTAATTGTAACTGTAAGATTACTTGATAATTTTATATTCTAGATATGGTAGATTAGTGGTTGTTTCTTGGATTGATACGTTCCCGGGTAAGCGGGACTGGACCCCCCCAGGGCTAAAAATATTTTAATTATTAATTCCCTAATATTTTTTGTATACTTTTAGATTGCCTAATTTAGCAATATTGAACACATATTTTTTTAAATTTTCCTGGGGGATGGCCCCCCCTTAGAAAGACCCTAGCCCTCTGTCTGAATCCCACCCCCAAGGCAAAGTCCTGGGGACGCCACTGCAACCTAATACTTTAGTTAACACACAACAAAACTTCTAGTTGCCTAGTGTATTATATGGTAATTTACAAATGTAACGATTAATTACTAGTTTCCTCTCAGTACACCTCTTTGTCAAAGTTGAGGCAATGATAGTGCCCCAATTTAGAGTTTTTACAAATTCAATGCTATTTAGCCTATAAAGTAAGAACCCAACCCCCCCCCCCCAAAAAAAAAAAGTAAAGAATCAACGTAAAGCTTCCAACAATGAAAGCTTCCTACCAAACCTCTTTGGACTTTGAGTTAATGCGACTCACACTCTTTGCTGGTGTACGGAGAGTTTTGCGGATTCTACCAATTATTTCCACGGTTTAAGCTGTTATCCTAAATAATTTTACCCAGTTTCCTATCATTTTCTAATCTGAAACAGCACCATGTCAACCAAGGATTGAGTGTAGTCTAAACAATCTCTCTTGAACAAGAATCATTATTTGTTTACATATCATGCGGCAGCTAAAGAAAATTGGGAAGAAACAAAACATTATCCCAACGTGTAGATAGTATGGTAAGAATCACCTTTGATGTTTGTTCAGGATGTAACACCCAACTTCCCAGACTTCATAGTTACACAGATGCCTCTACAAGCCACTTTTGGGGACTTTTGGACCATGGTGCTGGAGCAGCAGGTGGAGCTGATAGTCTGTCTACTGAACGACACAGAGGTAAATAAAAAGATAGTAAATTGTCTATAGGCTAAGTCCCCAGATATGTAGGTCTATATTAGTGAATTGAAATCACTAATTGTTCTTGATTGGTTATCTCTTTTGAGTTATAACTTTCTTTTTCCTTGTCATAGTTATAATTACAGTAAACCCCCACTAATCTGTTGCCTAATGGACTAGGACTTTAGTTAGAACAGTGAAAAGATTGGATTATCCGAGGAGCAGCATGTTATGGAAATGGCCGCGATCATGGGAGTTGATTATAATGTTTCCATTACTGCAGGAGATATTCAGGAGTTTGCTGGGATCGCAGATATCGACGATAAAGTTTCTATGACGGCAGGAGACAATGATGAGGTCCCCACGAATTTGGGGGATTTTTTATATTTTGCACGGTTGCAAAAGAGAATAAGTTGTTCTATGATCACAGTATTCAATATTTTGTCACAATTACAGTGGATGTTAATGTTTCTGTTACCGTAGGAGAAGTCGTTGATTTGGCCGCGATTGTGGAAAACGATGATATTTACATGACTGCACTGGATAAAAACATTTGTCGCAATTGCAGGAGACGATAATATCTACACGACCATGGAAAATAGTCACAATATTACTGCGATAACATTTTCACCAATAAGCAATGGTATGGTCGGATTAAGCAAGGGATTGGGGTTCTACTGCACTATAACTGGTAATCGGATTAATATAGTTTTGTGGCATCAAAAATTGTGCGTCCAACCAAAGTTTTAAAAGTATAATATGTCGTTTGGTTATTGCTATGAAATGCAATCTATCTGTCACTCTAAAATCTATACTGCTAGCAACTGCATCATCAGTGATGCAGGACTAAAAACTGAGAAGACACTCAGGGTTATAGGGATACAAAATCTCTCTAAAATTTCACTATATTGGAACTGGTGTACTGGATTCACAGTGTTGTTGGAGTAATACGGGGCTGTCAACAATTAGTTAAAAATTACAAAAAGGTATTTCGATTAAAGTAGCCTCTGGTCTAAGTGGTATTTTTCCATTTACTGTGGTTCTTAATATTTTTGTCTGCCACAATAATCTCACTCAATCTATTATGTATAAATTATGAAAGTACTTCACACTATATGTTTTTTTTTTTTTTGTAGGTAGAGGAGGCTGGGGGCAGATACTGGCCTACAGAGAAGGGAGTGGAGATGATAGTAGGTCGTGTCAAACTGACCCTGCAGACCTGTAACACCTGCAAACATTGGGTGGAGCGAATCATATACGTCACTGACACGAGACTGGCCAAAGTGGTTGTACACCTACAATTCACTGAGTGGCCCGGCAGGTTAGTAAGCATAGATTTATTGCAGAATTGATTAGCCGAATATTTTGAATTCAGAGAAAACTATAGAACATTTTCAATTTAATGGGTCTTTACGACAAAAATATTGTACACAGCATGATAGCTTGTCCGTTTACAAAATGATTTTGTGATCTCCCTTGATGTTAGCGATCGTGATCATCTTCTTGTTGTTATGACACCCATCTACATCGCTTACTGCTATAGTTTTATAGGACTTTAACTAAACTTTTCATGAACTATATATTATTTATCAGACATCTTACAATTTTGGGGGTTCTAGCAAAAAGATAGCTTCCTGTCCTGAAGATGTTTTGCAAAAACTTAAATCTTGTGTAATTAAAACATTTTTAAAAGTTGTTTATTGGAAAAACTCAAATTACTCAAACAATATTATACCTTGCAAATGGTAAATTTAGGGTGATTGTATCCAGCTCAATGATTTGTGGGGTCAAATAATGATTGATTTTATGAAAAAACTGTAAATGTGCAAACCAATTATAAGATGACACATCACTCCTTGGTGTTGCACTAGTCTGCCATGCACGTACGTTGTGTTGCAGTTCGTTCCCGTCGTCTCCTGGACCATTCCTGTCTCTGGTGTCTGAGTCCCTCAACAATGTTGCTCAACAGAGAGGTGGAGGCCCTGCTGTCGTCCACTGTCTCTCAGGTTAGTCCTCGCCATCTTTGCTAACTTTACGGCAGACAAACAATTAATAGAAAATAGAATTTTAAAAAAATTCTTCAAATGCATGAACCTATGTTTATTTAAGCTACTTCACAAACCAGCATGATTGGACTATGGATACAGGGTTTTATGTGGGTTTTTATTGGCTAAAATTTGGCTTTTCCTATTTTTTACTTTAAAAACATCGAATTTTTCAGTTTCTTTCCAAACCATTTTAAAGATTAAAAATACAAATAAATTTGAACATTGAAGCACTGTTCTACGTTTATAGGTTCCTAGAAAATAATCTGTGTTACATTGCCTGTACCAGCAAACCTAAGTAATTATTAGTCTTAATGTAATTTAAATTGTTTGGTTGTACTGATATTTTAAGGAAATGTTTGAGTGAAAATAAAATCAGGCGAATGGAAATGTGTTTATTCTGCAGGTTTGCTGCCGTGATATTCATTGATACAAAGTCATCTTGGCCAAGTGTTAAACTAGATTTTGGTGACATAAGTGTTACTCAAATAAGAGTAAGAATAAAAAATGTATTGACCATTAACAAATACATTGTTTACGATAAATCTCATTTACAATAGGTTAAATTGTAATACAATTACAACTGTTGGTTCTGCCGCAGGTGTGGGCAGGTCAGGTCTGTTTCTGCTCACGGCAGCCTCCATCTGTCACATCCTGAACTGTCGTACTCTCCCGGACCTGGTGATCCTGGCGGCCGTCATAGCCAGGTGGCGCAAGAACCCTCTCCGGGACAGAGAGCACTTCCGTTTCAGCTACCAGACATTGCTGTACTATGCGCAGGACCTACTCATGAAACGTACGTTGAGTGCCTACTTTGCTTTTTAACACTAAACTTTTCTCACCTGTTTTACTCAGTTTTTTTTATTTTAAGTTCCTTCCCTGGATTCAAAAACTCCCATCATAAAGATTGTTACTACCAGTTGACAGGAAAGCAAGCTTACATTTTAATAAGTCCATAGAGACACATAAACATCACATAAGTAGATTTCTCTAAGGTTGACAAGTGGTCAGTGACCACATATAACACAACACAGTAAAGCTTAATGTTTGGTCCCTGTTCATCAGAGGCTAAGAAAGAAGACTCAGTCCCTCTCTTCTGATAAAGTCCCTAACAGAGACAAAATATTTGTGTGTTACCAAAGCTAATCTGGACTCTTATCTACCAGGTAAGCTAGCTGATCCCTATCCTTTTCACAAAACACATAATAATCACATAATTTGTTACACATAATAATCCTTTCTTAATGGTTTCTTTGTTGTGTCTTCATCTTCTTCCCTATTATATGCCTAAGCCAAGTACTCTTAACTCTAGAAACTAGTCTTAAAGGTAAGTATCACATATCGGATCAACTGATTCCAGCTTGTCTGCCTGTATTGTTCCAATATTGTTAGGCCCAAGGAAATAAACCACAACATTTTTCACTGTTAGGTGGCATTTTAGCGAGCAGATCAAGTTTTGAGGAGAAGCGGACCAAATCTCACACTCGGCACCCTTCAGAGGACTTCTTGCTGGGTCCTCCCAAGGATGTCATGCCTCAGGAGAGTCCTGAGAAAAAACAGTCAGGTGTGTATTTCAGTTCAATTCCTTTTAGACAACCAAAACTGAACAGTACATTAGTCATTGTTGTACATACCAACAGTGCGTTCTTATTGGCCTCTTCTCCTTCTGTAGGCCTAATAGTGATGCTTTTTTCACAGTTGTGGACACCTGCTTACTGCAATCAATAGCTAAACTTAAGTAGTGCTTTTGCAGCTGGTCTAGAGCAAAAGCAGTGTTTCCTGATCTTGGGGTACAAGAAACCAAGAATGGTGCAGTGCACATGAACACCTAATCTTTTTGGCAGGATTGTTTGAGCTGGTAAACCAGCATTATTTCAGTGCTTAAAATTATTTTTTGATTTAACGTAATAAAAACCAAGTGACTTACGCAAAGTACCTAGTATGTGTGAAATAAATATTCTTGTGCACGGTGCTCAATACTTCATCTCTAGTAAAAAATCTTATTCTCGAACAAGGTTCACACTCATAGTTGAAAAATGGGATAGTTAGGTTGATGAATTAATCAAAACTTTCCTTCCATAGTTACATTCATGCGACTGAGTGGTAGAAAAAATATTTTGGTCTTGTAAACTGGTTTGCCAGAAAAGATTTTGGGGAAAATTGGGCTAGAGGATTAGATTGTCCTGCCGACCTGGAAACTGGGAATTTTTATGCAAATTTTGATCACTGGGAAAAATTTGGTGAACTATGTAGATAAATTTTGTAGAGAACCAGGAAATATAAATGTTTGAATAATAGCCGAAAAATCTGCGCAAAATCACCAATTATTCTCGTTTTGCTTTTGAATTTTAAACCTGGAAAACCTGGTGGTGTCCTTGAATTTTATTTTGATGGGATGATAGACAACCATGTGTTAAACAGTGGGTTAAACTATAGTAAATATTGTAAATCACAAGCCAAAATTAACTACGTAATATCATTGACTAATAGTCAAAGGTAATATTTTGACCTGTTTTGACCTCATTCAGGTGTCTCCATGGTAAATTAATTCTGTTTATGTTTATATGAATAAGATAATGTTAGATTTTCCTGCTGTCTTCCCTGGTAAGCAATCTATACTTTGTACAACACTAATTATACTTAAAGGAGAATATTGTTTTCACTGTTTGCTAAAACTTGTACGTAAATGAGAATAAGTTGTCAGGGTTTTTAATAATATTATATTACTAAACACATTTGCCTCCATCTAATCACTGTACTCGTTGGGTTTCTGTTACAGAAGGTATTTCCTCAGAAGCAGCTGCCTCCAACTCTTCAGATCCTCTCAGTCAACTTGACCCCCTTTGGTCTCTCAAGAGACCCAAGTAGTTATATTCCTACAACAGTGATTTTATATTGTTTATTAAATATTTCTATGACTATCGATTGCTTATTTGTGAGTTATAAGTATTGTTAAAAAGTATCTTTTAGTTTTATTAACTTATTCATATTTACAGTTTAATAAAGTTTAATCTTAATTCCAACTGTTTATTTACACCCTTAATTTGTTTTATGTGTTGTGTTTTATTTTTCAGTCTCAAAAACTAATGGAGATAAGTTAAAACCGAGAGGCTGGTATTTTTTAGGTAATATCAATAAATTGAATTTAAAACACTGAAGTTGATATCCAATGTATAAGGATTAGCTGTAGCCAAATTTGTACTACAGTCCTTGAGGTGGGTGAAGGGGGGATGCGGAATACTATCCCCCGGAAAACTACCCCCCCCAGGTGAAACGTGACGTCACAAAATCTGCTAACTAACCAATATGGAAGCCGTGTCCGTGACTGGAATACTACCCCCCCTAGACAAATCATGCTATGTAATTTTAATTTTAATTCGAGTAATTCCGTTGGATAATAGAAAAGGCATATGGTGAATATAAAACAGATTTTCGAAATGTTACAGCAAGTTTGGTTGGTTAGGTTAGGTTAGATTAGAACTGTTTGACAACTAAATTTGAGTGTCCGTGACTGGAAAACTGCCCCCCCGGTCTCTGACGTAAATATGACGTAGGAACCTGCTTGGGGGGGTAGTTTTCCGGGGGGCAGTCATCCGGCGACCCAGTGAAGGACTCTAAGGGATTACAGCCCCACTCGCACACCTAAACACACACATGGGTGAAGTGCCGTAGGGTAGGTAGGGCTGGCGAGTTTGCGTGCTTGGTGGAAGGGACGTTAATCCCTCTGAGTACTTCGCCTGCCTCACAGCCTATACAAAATTCCACCCATAGAATAGAGTCAAAATTCAATTTGCTCCCTTAGTTTTTGTATCTGTAATAATTCATGTAACACAAGAGGTGACATAATTTATGATACATTGTCTTTTCAGTTTTGCCGGGTTAAAAATATGATTAACCTAAATCTGTAATTTCCATCAGCACACTTTGCACTTTGTTGGCAGCTCAATTCAACGCCTACGTTAATTTTATTCTAAAATTGCCTACAGCATAAACATGGTGAAACCATTTTGAAAAGTATAAAGAAACATCTAAACATCTCAAAATCTAGTGTCTAAAGTCCTTCTTGGTTTTAGACTCCAATAAGGAGCAATGCTCCCAAACTGGCACAGTAACCAGTAGTGAGTGAAAATTTAAAAACGTACGTTTTCATGTCCCTGGCCTTTTACTTCGTAGATACTGGATTTGTAGTTTATTATTATGTGTTTTAATATTTTTTGGGACGGGGGCAACATGTTACACACATTTATTTAGTTTTAAATAGGTTCTGGGTATTTTTTTCGTATTTTTAAAGTCTCGAAATTCACGACCATGACGTGTCCCTAGGGTACATTTTCCAACTTTCACGCTGTTTTTGGACTAATTATTCATACCGAAATATATAAAGCCATATTTTTATGTCATCAATGGTTATTAAACTTACAAAAAAGGAGCATATTATAATTTTATTGTCATTGCAGACTGACTACCATGACAAAATAAGTCTGTCCCTCGATTTGGCGTCACGACCATTTGGGAAAAATTTTCAACTTTGGAGCACGGCAGTGGCAAGCCTGGCGTCGATGGAGTCAGTTGGTTTTAGAGACTAGTTCGGGGTGTACGTCAGGATTGTAGTGCCGGTCGTTTCGAGTTGAAACGAGGAATTACAAGATTAATAAAGGAAAGATTGTGTTTTTTGTAATTTTGGTGTGTCCATGACCGTACGTAGTCATTCGATGAAGTAGACATGGTGTTAATTTTTGTTTATAAGATATTTCAATTGCTAGATCAACCTAGAAGTCCACTTTGTATCCTCGAACATGAGGTGCAGGGCTACCACCAGAACAGAGCCAAATAACACGTAATTTCACGACCAAAGTTTCACGACCATCGCGGTTTTTTTCACGACCAATCCAGCCTTATGGATTATAGTGTGTTTGGTCGTGACAATAACTTTAATATAATTGTAAATTGAACAGTTTAGTTCAATTGAAACACATAGTTATATTATAACTAACAGTATAATTGAAGGATTGTTTGGAAAGATTTAGATTATTCCAGACAATTCACGACCGTACCACTTGTCCCTGACCATCACGTTTATGATTTCTATCATAAAAATTTCCAAAATTAAAATATCGTCATATTTCAATGTTTTATACACAAAAGAAGCACACCTCTATACAAACATAACGATTTTTCGGGTCTCAGGTAAGTTTTTTCGGAGTTATACAAACTTAAAAGGATTTTATTGACTTTTTTCTATTTTTTTGAGTTTTTTTAATTTTTTTCTAGAAAGACCAAATATACCAAAAGCTCAGTGACCTTTTTATTGTATAATGGTCATAAAAGTAAATTAGTTTATAGCAAAACATAGTTATAAAAATAATATTAACTATTTTTAATATTCATTTAAACGTCCGATATGGTCGTGACAGGATTTTGTGTTTTTCTACTAAAGATGCTCTTTAAAAAGAAAACTACCAAAGATATTGCGTTACCATGGACATTTTATGAAACTTAAAATGTTAATGAAATAAAAATAATAATAAAAGTTTTGAAAAAAGGGGAAAAAAATTTGCAAAGTGCTTTTCCTGAAAACGTACGTTTTTAAATTTTCACTCTAGTACCAGTAGGAGAGGTAGTCCAGTCAAGGAATGAGGTGTAGAGTGCGTGAGCAGGTAACTAAGATTTGTTCTGAAACTTGTTCAGGAGGCTTAGGGTGTAACATACCAAAATTCCTGACTCCTAGGTGTTGAGCCTGGGGGTGGAGGGGTGAAAGGGGGGCAAAGGTACGCATTTTGGTTTTTTTTATTATATCTCGAAAACTATCAACTTTTTGTGCACTATACTAAATTATAAAATTCAAGAAGATTAAATTTTCTACAAGAAAAGTATATAAGTGTTTATTTTGGTTAAACAGATTACGAGTTATTACTTATTTAATTAATATTTTCTAAACAAAATATCGTGATATTTAGTCCAGGAAGCCGAAACTCCCCGGACAGGGCTGCTATAGGATCAGATCCTCTTCAGCCTTTGAAAAAACCTCTCTGTTAAGTGTGCCGGGGATCAAACCCGTCCCTCCCACACCGGAGTCCGGAATGCTAACCTTTGGGCTAACAACACACCTTAATATCTTATTAAAATACTCCTTCCATAAGAAATACATGTAAATTAATCTGGAGATAAAAATATTGTTGTATAGCAAAAATTATGATGCTATGGTTCCTGGAGATGATTAAAAACTTTGCTGCTATTATAAATAAAAGGTTCAAGAGTTTCATTAAAATAAAGTAACTTAAATAATACTGCAAATTGATTTTAACAAAAGGTTTTCTATGGGCTACAAGATTTTACTTGGATTAAAGATTTGGTTTTGAAATTTCTAGAGTTAATCCTCTCTACTTCTTATATACTGCAACTAAAAATCGGAGATTTACGTTAAATCACTAATATACAGGGTGAATAAAACGTCAAGACCTCCTCTAATATTTTTCCAAGTAAATATACAGAGATATTCTTTTGGTGGTCGTGCAATCTTAGCAGGAAGTTTCATTTTATGATTTTGAAATTTTTGAGTGTCCCCCCAAAAGGAGGGATTTGGGGGGTAACTCAAATATTTTAAATGTAAACCCCCTCCAAGTGACACCTCATTTTGAAGTGTTTGCAAAAACTTAAAGAACGGTGAAAACTAGAGGTCGCTATCTCTTCCCTATCCAAAATGGTAGCCCGTCAAATGTTGTAGAAAATCAATGGTAAAATTGGTTCGTAATGGTAATATTGGCTACCATTTTGGATAGAGAAGAGATAGCGAACTCTGGTTTTCACCATTCTTTGAGTTTTTGTAAACACTTCAAAGTGAGGTGTCACTTGATGGGGATTACATTGAAACATTTTTAGTTGCCCTCCTTTTGGGGGGACACTCAAAATTTTTAAATGTAAACCCCCATTTTTTGATACTTTGTTTTGAAGTGTTTACAAAAACTTAAAGAATAGTTTATAGTTTATTACAGTTGGTTAGGTTTATACTCAATGGCAATACTGAGTACTATCGCAGTACTATCCTGATAATTAGACCAATTCGTTTATACCAAGGCAAAAATGTGGTTCGGATCCCACTATAAACTGTAGGTCCCTTAGTTGCCATTAGCTGTATGGGCAATTAATTAACAGCTAAGGAATATGTCGGCCTTAGCACAGAAAACGTAGCCTTAGTCACTAACAAGACTACAAGATGCGCCACTCATCTCCATTGATACTTGGCTTAATACCTACTTTTTATGGTCGCAATTTCAATGAAAAGTATTAAAGTAAAATAACTAAAACACGAATTTACCGATGATCTATTTTTCAAAAATTTTCCCGAACCCCCTTTTCCTGGGGGTTTGGTTCTCCAGACACCCCCCTTACGGTCATCCTATCCTAGTTACGCTTATAAAGTCAGCCTAGCCCGAGCAAAAATATAACCAAATTTTCAAGATCCAAATTAATTCTACTGGTCCAAACGTGTAACGCATTCTAGCGGCGAGCAGCGGAACTATTTGCTGCGCGCCGTGCCGCAGTACGTTGCATTGTTGTGTTTGTATCCCAGAGCCCAGTGCTTGCTCGGCGGCTGCGGCTGATAGGCCAGTAGTTCCTCTTTCCCCAGTTAGCCAGTGATGTTCGTTGATTTCCGAAGGTATGATGGCAGCCGACGTGGAAGTGCGGTCTAAATGCCGGCTTAGCGGGAAAGGTTGTGTGTCTTTGCTAGATATTTTAATTTCGTTCAACGCCCCAATAAACGAAGAACACGCTTGGGCGTTGTGTTTTCAGTGCGCGATTTGTTTTAAAAATGCCCTGCAAACCGAAAGGGCTAAGTGTCGTGTGGTGACGGAATTGGATCAAGTGTTGTTGCATCGGGATGGACATGTGCATTCGGAGAGTATATTATCTGAAGGAAAACATGATCAAGGTAGGCTAACTTCAAACCATAATCTTTAAGTTTATTAAAATTACGCTGTATCTTAAGCTTTGCACATTATATTAATGCGTTGTGTTAATTATGACTTTTTTTGTGACTTGTGAGCGATTGAAACGGAATTTGCCCCTTGAGTGATAACCAGCGTAATGTAGGTTACGTGGACTTGAAGTGAGCGTAAATCAATACTCAACTCAGCTGTTTCAGATTCTTCGTTGTGCGATCAACTCATTCCACTCGCCATTCATTATTTAATTCTTTTTGTCTATGATTTAATCCTTCATTCAATAAGTTACAGAATGATTTTCAGTTTAGCGAATAGAAACATAGTACTTTCCAAGCTTTAACCTAAAATTTAGTAAAAGTAAATAAACAAACAAATGTTTATCTGTCAGGTGTTGACTATTTCAGCTGGTCCCTAAATTAAAATGCCATTGTAATTGGTTGTCATTGACGCTATGCACTAGAAATAGGCTTTGAGTTCTTGTACTAAATTATGCTATAGATTATGTTTTATTGATTAATACAGTAAACAGCGCAATGGCAATCGGGCATTGTCAACAATGAATTTATTGTTAACAATTAAGAGCTACTGAGTGACTGAGTTACACATATTTAAACATAGATTGTCCAATTGAAATGTTAAAGGCAAAAACACATTGTAAATTCGGGACGGATAGCTGGGTTCTGGGTTAGTTTGAGTTTAAGACTTAAGCTCACGTGTATTTGGTTTTTAACTGGGTATACAACATTAATTTTTTATGGATTTAAAACTATTTACAGTACGCACAGCACGCAACAAACTCATTGACAAAACTACGAGCTCATGACGATACCCTCGCCGCAACAAACCTGCAGACTTAGCGAATTCCCATTTAGTCCTACTTGGCTGGATTTCAACTAAAATATTCCCATTGTCAGATTTATTTCCTAAATAAATAACATGAATTTTAATAAGTACTTAGGTTTAATGACACAGATAAGGTAATAAGGAGTGTTTTTTTGAATTTTGATAGCTTAAAGTATGAAATAAACAATCTCACCCAATTCGATCAAGATATATCCATCAACAACCAAACTTCATAAGAATTTTAAATTTAAATTTTTTTGATTTTTTTTTTAGAGTAAGCACTTATTGTATATGGCAAATTTGCTAAAATGCTTGCAAGTTAAATTGTTTCAAGCTAGTTCTATGTTATTCAAGCTGATTTTACCCATCTGATTAACAAAACTGTAAAATCTAGAAATTTAAAATTAACAAAACGATGTGACCTACCTTGTTTCCCTGAACACACATCATCCTTCTCGTTGAAATTGGGTTTTATCAAAGACATTCCACATCTAAATAAGGAATGCTCTAAGTGATTGAGCCTTTTCGCCTTCCACCCCCAACGGTTCCTTCCCTCTACTCCCCAGCACCACCTGTCCTAGGGTCCGCACCTGTTCCTTCGCCCCCAATTCTCCGAACCACCCTGACTGTTCACACCTCGCCGACCCCACATCTTCCCACGACCTAGGTTATAAATTAGGCCTACATCCGCTGTAGCTTCCATTCTTGACCATCGGGTGGCAAGTCATGTCTTTCAAGATTTTGGATGTTTTTTAAGCTCGTTTGTTGAAATTGTTTAGTGTTTGGCGGAGAACATTTGTCATTTCACAGTGGCTCTGAGTTCTAGATTGGGGTTCAGTAAACTTATAAATAATTGTTAGTTTTATTGTTCTTTGCATTCATTTGATAAACAGCAATCAGAATATCTTCCTACATTTTTAGTGATCTTTGACGAAATACCAAATACTATACGATATGCATTTGAAGAAGCTTTTAATAGGCTACATAAATACCGATGACAACTATGATGAAAAAGGTTTGATAGCTTCTTATAACACAGAAAACAATATGAAATATCATCATTGTAAATTAATTTCTGATCGTGTTCTAGTATGAAATCCTTATTGTACTGGACTGATAGCTTTACACATTCGTTTTAACAACAGTAGTTTATGCAATTTCGTTGGACAAATTCATAAACATATTGCGGTTAGGTTATTCTACAGTGTTATAAAAACTAGACTACCATGCTGCATTTGGCATTGTTTCCCAAACGATTTGCATTTCTACTCATGTTTTGACACTAATTTTAGGATGTTTAGAAAACACATTGAAAAATTAGCTGTAGGCCTACACTTGTTTCTCCACTGAACATTCCATAGTTTACACTACGATTAGCGTAAGTAAGCTGAAAGGCGTGTTTGAGTCTAGCGGTTTGAATTTGTTACGAAACATATTATTTTTAACAATTGTTTGTTTGTCCACTAAAATTATACACCATTTACGTTCAACAGGCCTATAAGTTCAAGGGTAACGTAGGGTTCAACATGAGGGTCAGGCGTGAGGTGCTAGCTTGGTTGCCATGGTAACGACTTCGATCTCTTCATCAAGGCCGTTCCTATCTGTTAACTTTGAGGAATTCCCAGTAGCTGATATCCTGAACTATGAAAATTGTACATTTTTTGTCATGTTGTTGATTCATTATATTATGTAAATTTAGCTGAGTTGCTGGGGGTTACTTTCATCCCCGTAACTTGTATTAAGGAAATAAGTAGGGTAATTACTTCATATTTTATTAATGTATCACAAGTTTTTATTTTATCTTCTTGGACGAATGTACTTTAAAGTTTTTAAAAGTACATACGCTAAAGAATGTTAAAAAGCAACATTATTATGAAGAAACAATTATTTTAAACAAAATGATAAAATGCCTTAATGTGGCTGGATTTATTAGAATCTTGGTAAGCTAATGTTAATCGTTTGCTGTGGCTGTAGAAATACGTTTAACACAATTAGGCCTAACACTTGTTTTTAAATCTTATGGAAAATCATTATTGCAGAACCAAATTATCTACAACTTTAGTTTTTATGGTTCTTTTCTATCTCAAACGCGTTTCGAGTAAAATCAGTTAAAAAGTCAAAACTTTGAAAATTGACTTTTCCCTCATGATTGTGCGTTAAAACAAGGCAGTTCACTTTAAATCACGTTTATTAAACATTTTATTTCATTAAAGAGAAGCACATTTTTTTAAATAAAAATACATACGTCATTAAATAAAAAGTGGTTAAAATATATTCTACAAGGTACGCACTTTTTACATTTTAGGAGTTATTGCTCATGCTATATCTTCCGAAACGTGCCAAATAAATCCGGTAACCCCTAAATAAAAATTAGAAATTTCCCATTCTAAATCTTTATTTCAGTGTTAAGTTACCATTAGCATGCCAAACCGTTGTTAAATTTGTTGTAACATAGTAATAATCTATACTTATAAAAGGCAAAGCCCTCACTGACTCACTGACACACTCAATCATCACTAATTCTCCCACTTCCCATTTACCTAGGAGGCTGAAATTTGGCACATTGATTCTTTAGGCATTGAATAGGAAAACTAAGTTATTTTTATTCTGATCGGACTCTCGGGCTCCGCCCCAGTGGCTCTGGAGTTTCCCATGTTAACCTTATGAGTACTTATATTTAAATGGAATTAATGAATCTTAACAGCTGTTTCAATTAAACAAGTTGGTTCTGTTCTATGATGTGCAATAGCAATAAAGTTACAAGGATTACCAACAGGGTGCAGCACTATTATTTTTATTTAATTTATGACAACATCTTATTTGCAACCAAAAGGTGAGTGAGCGTAGCGAACGAACTTCAACCTGTAGGCGAGTTAGCGTAGCGAACGAACTTCAACCTGTAGGCGAGTTAGCGTAGCGAACGAGCTAACTTGAAGGCAAGTGAGCGCAGCGAACGAGCTCCAACCTAAAGGTGAGTGAGCGTAGCGAACGAACTTCAACCTGGAGGCTAGTTAGCATAGCGAACGAGCTAACTTGAAGGCAAGTGAGCGCAGCGAACGAGCTCCAACCTAAAGGTGAGTGAGCGTAGCGAACGAACTTCAACCAGGACGTGATTGAGCCATGCGAACGAGCTCACTTATGAAGTAAAACGGGGCAAAGCCCGCGGGTACAGCTAGTCTATATATAAAGCCAAAAGTACCCATGAACTTTTGAGAAAACTACAAGTCACACCCCCATAAACCATATACTTAAAATGTTCGTCATGACGAGAAACCTTGCGCAAAATTATCCATTATTTCATAAATTGCCCTATAAGGTCGTAAATGCTTTCCAAAGGGAACTTTCCATTTATCTAATGTTAAAAATACCACAGCTGTTATTATTTGTTTGTATTACCATTACTGTATTCTGTTTTGTTTATTTCATCTTAACTTAACCAATCAATAGTTTTATTAATACTAATGTAGTAAAACGGGGTGGAGCCCGTGGGTAACAGCTAGTTTTCGTTAAAAATCAATACAGAGATGAGATATATTATAATAGCAAACCTGCGTTACTCAGCCAATTCTCAGCTGACCAAGATCATAACAGCTGATCAAATGTTTTGTTTACATTTTAATCCACGTCAAAACAAACGATTCTATTTATTTCATTTCGCAATGATGTGCAGTGTCCTTTTTCTACAGTCTTTTCAATATCAAATCAGGAGCATGTCGAGACAGTCACAGAGAACATTGTGTCACAAAATTAAGGTTTTTATGCTTTTCTACTTTGTGATAGTCTATCTAATACTTTTTAGTAAGGTTTAAAAAAAAACAACTGTACCATTGGCAAATTTGGTTTAAGATATGGTTCTAGACTATTTAAATGATAGGAGATAAAACAGGAATATACTACTATTTTTGTAAAAACATCAGGAAGGTTGTCCTTGAGAGAGTAGTTCGAAGCAATGCAAAAGGTCATTTTAGGTAATAGTGAAGTCGGTGAAGCCATAACTTAAGTGGGTTCATAGTAGCGTATAGTCAATGATAGTAGTAAAAACACCAAAAGTATGTCGGGCGAAGCCGACGGGCAACAACTACTTTTATTATAGGCCTAGTGTAGTGTTAAATTTTTGACAATTAATGGTTAAATTTAAGCGAAG